CCCTATATGACTTGCGTAAATGTACAAATGCTCAGTGCGCGCTGACTGCATACCATGCGCACGCTGTATCAGGCTGTATCAGGTATGGGAGCGTACTTTGGGAAAGCTCAGCCGATGTCCAGGCACAATTTTTTTTACAAAAACGCTGCATTAGGATGATTGCCAACCTGTCATCTCTAGAATCATGTAGACCACGGTTTGTAAGCCTAAAGATTCTTACGGTCAGCTGTGTGTACATTTACGAGCTTTGTGGATTAGTTCGCACCAGCCCACATTATTTTAATAGATAACTGATCTTCCTCAATAATACCTTCCCAATACGGAACAGCAGTGCTATTCTGTAAAATTTTCACGCGCGGTTCCGATATAAATACTCGAAAATTGTGCAGAATATCAGTACTTATTATTTTTATTTTTATGAAAGAATAAAATGATCAACTATCTTATAAAAAACTGTTTCAAGATCGCGTTAAGAGTTTCGATGGCTCTTCAATCACAAAGTACACAATGCGCGGCTCAGTGAATAGAATTTGGCAATGGCAACCTCCTTTTTTACGCAATAAGTTATATGGCCTTGACTAATACAGTCTCTGTTTCAGTGACACATGAAAATCAATAATATACAAACGAGTTGTCATATAAAATAAAAAAAGCTTTTAGGTACACAGATACATATAACATGACTGTTTTCCCAACGGTTTTCCCCCAAATTGAGAAGAAAAATTATGTGGAGTGATTATAGTCAGTTATTTTGTTGACTATCTTACTTAAAGCAAGTAAAATAATATTTTATAGGCATTTATTAATTCTTATTGACACAGCGCTTCAATAACATCAATAATTTCAATGTATGAAGGTATAAAAATCACTATGGATATTCTTAGGGTTCCTTACCTTACACATAGTAAAATTTTTATACCGTCACACAACTGCACTCGATATTATTATAGCGCTCACCCTCATCGGGGTAAGTCCGTTCGCCGCAACTACCCCGGCGCGCATTGCGGAGACTTTGGTTCCCAAAATGCGTGACGGATGACCGGTACAGGAGTACTGCTCATTTCACCAAGGCAAGCCATCAGGGCTGGGTGAGTGGAGTAGGGAGGAGTCCGTAGATACCTTCGTTTTGCTCCTCCGGAGGATCGCTAACCATCCTTCGCTAACCGGTTAGCGAAGGATGCGTATTGCCTTTTCGAGACAAAAATAAAGTAAATACCTGAAAATAAAACAACAATACCCTTATCCACTTTTTCTGAGGAGTGCGTGGAAATATGAAGCCGAAATTAATATCAAAAAACTGACGTGTGAATGCCCTTAGAACAGTGAACAAATCAAACTTTTAAGTTGACGCATTCAAAAGTTATTCGACAGCACTAGAGTCCGCATCACACAAATTTTGTTTGGAATCAAAATCGCCAAAGTCGGTGGGGTGCAGGGAGGTCAGCCCCGCTGTGATTGGACGCGTCAAGGTCAGATCATATACTCAGTGCAGCGAAGTGATGAGGGTAAGATCGATTTTAGAAAATATCGATATTTTCTATCGATAAACAATTTAGAATAGAGGCCTGGTACTTTGGTGCACAAATGCGTAATCATACCCTCTCCACTTTCTTACAGCGTTCTAATTACATGACGCGACTAGTAACTACATACTAAATTATATATAAGCAAGACAAAAAAAAACACGTCCAGGACAAGAAGTATTAATGCAACGATATTAACTACCCTAGATACAACAACACGAACAAAATCGAGGCCGAAACGTGTCCAAAAGGTACATTGGACGATCCACGGAGGTCCGTAAGATGATCGCGTGGTCAAAAACAATATAATGCCTTATTTAAACATTGAAAGTCACCTTTAATGCATACGGCATAAGGTCTTAATTAAAATGCATGCGTCAAGTTCGTAAAATTTTACGATTTAGTGTTATATGTGAAAGAATATAGACCTTATTTTTTTTTACTTTCCACGCGCAATTCTGAATGCGCTGTTAGCAATATAGCAGGTACAGACCGCGAAGAAAAGAGATGGCTAAGGGCGACGTATAACCGACCACGCATTTGAATATCACAAATATTTTAAATTAAATCAGTTTATAGTAAGTATTACAACAATAAAATTTGCTTTAAAGACGTTAATTAAAAAACATTAATTAGATACCCGTCGAAAAAACGACACTTTACGTACTATTAGTATTTTTCTGCATTTTTCCACGGAACTCTTTAGCATCTTGACTTTTCAACAGTCCGCGTGTGACTGTGTACTAAGAAGTGCTTGAGTGGAGTTCAAGCACTTCTTGATTGGGTTGGGACACATTTTGAGCGGTCGTGGTGTATCTAGGGTATTTAATATCGTTAATTCTATGTCTTTATCTAGGTCATAAACTATGCGCACTTAATTTCATACAAATCCGTTTAACCGTTTTAGCGTGAAAGAGTAACAAATATGCATACAAATTTTCGCGTTTTTTAAATTTTATAAGGATATGTTTGACTTCAATCAAATAAAAACTATTGGTTGTATACTTATGACATCTATTATTGTATACGATGAAATAAATAGTTTTTATTTATTTTTTTCCATTTCCATAGCTGACAAACTTATCGACAAACTTACGCGTTGAGACATGAGCTGCGTCTGAGTCACTAGCAATACATGTGCCGGTGTGAGAGCGAGATAGCATATATGATGTAGCCCATGCGAGAAAGGGATAGTGTAAAAAGACATCAACGCGTTCACCAAAAAATAAATACATTAACAGCAATTTAATATAACAGTATTTTTGTCTTTTTGTAATGCATTTAAACTAACCAGTGAAAAGTTATACCATTTTTTTGAAGACTGGAAGTTGTACTCGACTTTCCACACAATTTAATTGCACAGTACGGCATTTTTTACAGTTTTTTAACACGAAAACGAGAGAAGAATTTCGACCAACGCTCGGTTACCGAATGAAACGATGTATCGCGACATCTGTAGGCGTGCCTCACGCATAGGTAAAATACTACTTAAGCTTGGCGTAAGCGCTTGCCCTTGTATGCGGACTCTAGTGGGGGTGCTCCGTGCTTTATACTCATTTGTACCGCAAAGTTTGACGCTCTCAAGAGAATCAAAACTACTCTTCCTTACTTTCCAATAACCCAGAACAAGTCTTGACTTGATTTTATTTAGTTATTCCAAAATGGTAAAAAATCCTCGAGTTCGAACTATTTACACATCTCCAAGCAGATGGACCCTCGGTATGCGAGCCCGATTCGAATTTGTTTTTTTTTAGTTTGAGATTTAATAAAATGTAAAAGTTGATCCGATGTGGATCCACGCGTGAAAATTTTACAGAATAGTACTGCAGGCAGCAGGTCCACGTGGATTTTTATCTAGTAATTTTTTTCTTTAGATTTAAACATCTAGCAGAAAAATGCTTAAAAATAAAAATATAAAAAAAAGTTTTTTTATTGCCAAGCACTGATACTAGTTTATTGTTCTTTGTGTTCTTTTATGTTATCGGAGCTTTTTCAAATGTAGTTAAGAGGAGGTTTAGGGGCTTTTGAGTGTAGCTTTAGGAGTAAATAATTCTGGGAGTTAATAAGACTAACGTCACCCCATATCCCTTTCGGGGTCAGTTGGCACTTGCCAGCCTCGCAAATATCATCATGATCGACTTTTATATATCTGCACGGGAAAATTTGCAGCTGACATATAATATATTACATATGATATTATATATAATACATATAATATATACAACTAAGGTTGTCTCTACCTTCAACCTTTATACTTCACGGAAATTTTAGTAAAATCAAAGTGCATGTGTGCGACAACAAAAAGCATTTTTTCCAGGAATACACATTATAATATAATACATTACTTAAGAGTAATGATATCACATACTTTTTCTAAATGAAAGATACAACTTTATATTCAATCTCCCAAGAGGTTCTCTCTTATCATCGAGAGAAGTGAGGCATAATGGATTTGCTGAGCTGAGCAGAGCTAAAATTGGTTCACCAAATGTTAGAAGGTCAGGATATGCTGAACCATTTGTTGATTTTTTGAATATATAATATTCTTTAGACTTAAAAATCATACGGGTGAATTCCCATCAATGAAAATAAAACAAATATATCCTTCTTCCTTAAAATATGAAAGTTTTAAAGTTTGTTAGTTTTCATCCCAAAAAAAATTTGGTTCCTGTTTCTCAAAAAACTAAAACTATAGCGCGGACGAAGTCGAGAGCAGCAGCTAGTTTGATATAATTGTGAAAGGGTCTAGTAAATATTCATGATTTGTACATAATACTTCCCTCCTAAGATTGTCTCATAAATTTTTAACCTTCATACTTCACGGAATTTCTGTTAAGATCAAAGTGCACTTGTTCGACGACAAAAAGCATTTTTTCCAGGAAGTCACATTATAATATGTATGTTATGTGTACAAACTCGTGAGAAACACTTCAATCTTGTAGGTTATAGAGAGTACATTTACCGACGGCTCACAGCTCTTATGTAGGAGTACACGGGAGTTTATTATATTCAGCTCATGCGGAAAGGTATCTTCACAACACTTAAGTATTATAGTAGAATCGTAAAACATTTTTGTAAGAGTCATAAAGACTTTTATTTTTCATATTTTATTATACTAGCTGTGCCCCGCGGTGTTACATGCGGTTTATAAGGAATATTTTTCGCAGTAAAAAAATGTCACCTCCAGCCGTTTAGACGTGAAGAAGTTACGAACATACACACTCACAAACTTTCGCCTTTATAATATTAGTGTGATTACATAGGTAGTATTTAGAGGATATATTGTTAAAACATATTTACATACATAGAAACCATAAAAATCTGTTAAAAAATAAGTCTCATAAAACGCTGACACATTCCATACATGAACCCACACAGTTTGTAAAAGATTAAATTTCACCTTCTGTATTGTAGCTACGCCTATGTTGGTATGTATGTACCTATGCCTTACCCATCTTCACAATTGATACTCCATAGGGTTTCACGGTAGCGCTGTTCTACTGCTTCATGAACACGGAGGTGCGTCATGCGATCCGAGGACACGTGGAGCGATGGAAGACCGGCCGCACCATCGGAGGGGGCAGGCGGAGGGGAGCCTCCTACTCCAAAGATTGGTCCCCACGGTCCAGAACTGAAAGCATCAGGTGAGGAACGCATGATGAATTATGGTCCGCTATAATCAGAGCGTTTTCGGTCAAACTGTAGATACTTTCTGGACCCGGGTGTTGTCATTTCGACCAGTATATTTTTTTTTCATTTATGTATGTCTCCCGAGGTTTCAGAGCCGATTTACAATCTCGTAAAACACGTTAAAAGACGTATACTGATTAAAAATGAAAATCTATTCTGTTTCAATCTTGGCCCCGCCTGACTTCCAAATCATGAACCTGATATTATTATTTACTTTTTAGTACCATTTTTGATTTTGAAGTCGGTTTTAATTTTTGTTTTATATTTTTTTTGTCGAAAAGGTTATGCATAGAACAATAACTAAACCTTGTGTGAAATTTCAACTCCTAGGCCCAAGAAGTGTAGATACAGTTTGGCCGCGTTTTCTACCTAAAATCTGTCTACAATCAAAGTGGCAAACGCTTCATAGACCGGGAGATGATGACACAAAATACTTGGTCATTTGTACCAGTATGGCGGTTCTTCAGGGGTCTAATTACGTAAAGGCAAAAAGGAAAATGATGGTCATAGCGCTCGCACCGGCGGCCCAATCGCGTGGGCGTTAATCGAACGCGTCGGATAAATAACGAGTGTCGAACGATTTGTTCCACAAAAATGCTTATATTTTCAGATAGTCGAAAAAAAGAAGTAGGCGGTAGCGTAATGCTATACTTCTCGGGTGTGACTTACAGCCCGCCATACCGACGCGAATACATTAATTTAAATAAAACAATTCAACCATTTGTACCAGGCTAATTTTTGCACAGCTAATCATCGTCGAGTAGCCATTCACGAAAATCACCTTGCCATACTTTTCCGACAGTTCCCAGTGGCCGCCATACCGCTGCAAAGGAGTAATTTTTTTTTTTTCGCCAAACGATTTGTACCACCCTGAAACTTTTTTAACAGTTCCCCGTATGATCATAAATAGAAGTCTGATAATGCCATACCTGTGGGAGGTGGCGAATGTGAACAATATTTTTTCAAAGTCCCAAGATTTTATTCGTAATTCGAACGATTTGTACCAGTATGGCGCCACTTTTTCCCTCTACTACAAGTATGGCAAAAATAATAATGGTCACATTGTATCGTATAATTTCCAAAAATCCAAATGCCATACTGGTACAAATCGTCAAATTTTTTTTTTCTTTGTCACCTTTTAGCTCAAGTCCGACAGTCATCCGCCCCATGTTTACAATCTGTAATAATTTTTTTTACGTACAATTGCATCCAAATGACGTGAATACAATGATGTCATGATGTAAAAAATAATTTTACGTATTTTGCAGTCGTATTTTTAAAACGTGTCAAATAAATAAGTATTTCAAGTATGGCAGCACTTTTTCCCCCTACTAGAAGTATGGGAAAAATAATAACGGTCACATTTTGCCAAATACTTTCCAAAAATTCAAATGCAATACTGGTACAAATCGTTTGGCGAAAAAGAAAAAAATTACTCCTTTGCAGCGGTATGGCGGCCATTGGGAACTGTCGGAAAAGTATGGCAAGGTGATTTTCGTGAATGGCTACTCGACGATGATTAGCTGTGCAAAAATTAGCCTGGTACAAATGGTTGAATTGTTTTATTTAAATTAATGTATTCGCGTCGGTATGGCGGGCTGTAAGTCACACCCGAGAAGTATGGCATTACGCTACCGCCTACTTCTTTTTTTCGACTATCTGAAAATATAAGCATTTTTGTGGAACAAATCGTTCGACACTCGTTATTTATCCGACGCGTTCGATTAACGCCCACGCGATTGGGCCGCCGGTGCGAGCGCTATGACCATCATTTTCCTTTTTGCCTTTACGTAATTAGACCCCTGAAGAACCGCCATACTGGTACAAATGACCAAGTATTTTGTGTCATCATCTCCCGGTCTATCAGTGTAATGCTTAGAATACCTAGTCTTATACTTTTCTTTCTACTTACCACTTAACAAATCGAGCCCAATATCAGAACAAACTTGTTTATTATAATTTCATCAACTTGACTTACCTTTCCTCCTCGCTAGCAAGCTAAAGAATTTGAGTCTTTATTTACCTACATTATTTCAAAGTTTAGAGGGAATCATCCAATGAATGCTTGGTTAATCCAAGAATTCCAAGAATGGCTCAGAGAACCTATAGTTTAGTCTAAAATTGGGCTTCACCTGTAACATAACATAAAAGCGAAACACTTATAATAACAATTAAGTGGCTATTGTATTAGTTCACTCATAATTACTTGTATACAGCATATTCAAAATTCAATTTATCAGAAAACCAAGATCAAAATGTTGTTTATTGAGAAACAGTAAGCAAAAGCTAAGAAAAAAAATTTTTATCAATGAAATGTATGAAATAAAAATTATTTTTGAACAAGAAATAAAAACTGACTTCAAAAATGAATAGGGAGCTAAAAAGTAAATTATAATATCTGCTTCATATAAAAACAGGTGAGCCCTAGTAGGACTTTCTCTAATATTTAGAAGATTTATTTTAATAAACTAAGTCAGTAAATAGTGTTTCGCTTTTATAAAATAACAAGTTTCAGTTAATCCAGCCTTCTTTTTATTTTAAATATTTTTATTTTCAAAGAGAATTTGTAATAGATTGTGGTTATAAAACAATGAAACCAACTTACATTACAAATAAAATATTCCCTTTCATAGAAAAATAGAATGAAAAATCCAATACACTCGAGAGCAATGAATCCGGGTCACTTAAAGAATCCTAAAAATCTCGCATACTAAGAATGCTAGCTAATTGAAATAAATTCCAATTAATAGACAATTAAATAAATACTCCTTAAATGAAGATATTAAAACTTCTTAGTTATTCTAAAGCTGTATCATAAAAAAAATGATGTGGTGTCGTGGGACACCAGGTAGGAACGAAGTTCCTTCGGAACATTTAACGGTTTCATTCCACGCACTTTTTTCCACGGATTTTTTCTTACGGTTTTACTATCACATTTTTTTCAGTTCGGTCAGCTAGTATTCGTAAAGATTGCTAGGCAGGACTGGCCCACAGTTTATAATAAACTACAATGTCACAATAATCCAGTAATGCAGCCCGTCGCTCTGCCACCCCCCTGGACTTAACCACAGTTTAGTATAATATACGACAATAATCCAGTGTTGGTATAATGCCACAATAATTTGGGGTTGCACCCCCGTCGCTCTGTCACCCCCTGTTAAGTACTGACCTTGTTATCATGTCTAGCTTAAGTTTACAGCAGATGACAGGCGTTCCTGGTCCACAGCTCGGTATAACGTCACAAATATCCAGATTTCGTGTAATGTCACAATATTCCAGTGCTGCACCCTCGTAGCTGTGCCACCCCCTACATACGCACCTTATTATCATGTCCCGCTAGCGTTCGTAAAGGATGCTAGGCAGGACTGGCCCACAGTTTAGAATAAACTACAATGTCACAATAATCCAGTGATGCACCCCCGTCGCTCTGCCACCTCCTGATAAGTACTCACCTTGTAATCATAATCATGTCTCACAGGCGTTACTGGTCCACAGCTTGATATAACTTCACAAATATCCAGTGTTGGTGTAGTATCACAATATTTCAGTGATGCACCCTCGTCGCTCTACCACCCCCTATAACTTCACACATATTTAGTGTTGGTGTAATATCACAATATTTCAGTGATGCACCCTTGTCGCTCTACCACCCCCTATAACTTCACACATATTCACTGTTGGTGTAGTATCACAATATTTCAGTGATACACCCTCGTCGCTCTACCAGTCCCTTTAACTTCACACATATTACGGGAGTATAATACGCCGCACAGCTTACAATAGCTTACTATAGCAAAAAGTGTCGTGACAACTTTTCGTAAGAATTTTTTCCGTCTAGCCCCCTTTCACAACGCGAGATAAGAAAATTCGTTCCAAAAAATCGAAATCAAGGTTAAACGATCAATGGAAGCACGAGGAAGCAATACGAAGTATTTAAATTCACGGAAATTGTAATATTGTTCAATAATGTCATGTTTCCTTTTTCCTTTATGTATTTTTTTTGTAAATAAAATATGGTGACTTATAAATTTTATTATTTTCATTTAAGGAGTATTTAATTGTCTATTAAACACAATTTATAACATTATGCTAGCATTCTTAGTTTGCGAGATTATTAGGATTCTTTATGTGTCCCGGATTCATTGCTCTCGAGTGTAATATTTTATTCCTTCTGATACCCCAGAATCAAGTTCTATGAATTCCTTTTTTATTGTGCAAAAGACTTTATCGAACAAACAAATATCTAGTTATTGAGGTGATGCACGGCCGGAAGCGACAACAAACATCTCATTCTTCATAATCTGTTTGTTTATCTGAGTTGTTTACTTTTTCGCAACTGCCAATGTATCATACAGATCTACTTACAAAAAAATATTGTTAATCTTCTGAAGAATAACTTTGTTTATTTAATTACGCCAATATGAAAAATATATTAGTTTCAAAACTTACAAAAAAATATGATTTGCTACTGACTGTCCTAATATGATTGAAAATTTCTGAATATAAAAGAAAAAGTGCTTAACAAAGCATTGTTGTTATCCAATGATAAGTAATTAATTGAAATTTCCTAATAATTTAAAGGACAAGTCGCTTTGATGTCTTAATTAAGATGCTAAACCAAAAACAAATCAAGATTTAGTGTCAACACATTTTGAATTCTTCTTCATTTCTTTATCAGACATCCACCCTTCTTTAACTTCTTTCTTTGTCATCTTAACCTTTTCTGCCTGTATCTTGTTTTGTCTTCCACTCATATCTTTCTAAACCTTCATCTATATATAAAATGCTTCATTTTATAATCAGCAACAATTTGATATCCATTAATTATCTTCTATACATAATAAATGAATTCACATACAAAAAAGTTCACCAGCGACACCATTGTTTTGGGATTCTATTAAATTCATAAACGGAATTAACTTTTGAAAGTTAAAAATAAACAAGCGTACCGGTTAACCTTTGACCCGTTCATTCCGTTTGTCGAACACACCGCCCAAGTCAACAATGTTTTTTTTGTTCGACGGGGAACCCGCCTGTGATTGCCACGAACGTAATTCGTTTACGGGGATAAATTATTTCGCTTAGTACCTCTATCTAACTTGAGAAGAAGAAAATATAGCTGTAATAAATTCTCTTTTTTAAAAAAAACATAAAATGTTAAACCATTCCGCAGTTGTTACACCTGCGTCATTCTTCTTATTTCCGCTTGTTACTGTTCCCAAATCCATATTTGATCGTATATTTTTTTCCCATTAGGCTCACGGTATGAAGAAACCTGCACCAACCGGATAGCCAGGCCGTTTGGTTACCTGTGTCGACTTATTGCATTTACGAAGAATTTATAATTTTAACAATGATGATGTAATGTGGATTTGGATGTATTTTTATGTTTGTTATTTTCCAATAAATTGATTGTTTATTCTGCTTCACTTATCTGGTTCTCTTTTCAAGCTTTACATTTAGACTAAGTTAACCCCTAATTTTATGTTTGTGTAGCGATATTAATTGTTAACCCTAAAATTACGAACCAAATAGATTGACAACATATTCAACCAGTAAACTGTTTAATATAAAACTTTACTTTGTAACTCTTATACTACTTTATTAAAGAGTAGAAAGAATGTATATTATAATATTACGAAAGATATATTTCCGATGTCTTTTTATTCAAAAAGTTTATTTTATTATTTTAATAGTAACTCATTTGATAAGAACGATAAAGTAATATGTAACAAATATATTATAAAGATAAAATATTTCAAGAACAAAGATTAAAACATGAGAAAAATATTTCTCAGTACATTATTTTACCCACCATAATTTTAAATCACAGATGTCTCAAATAATAATGGAATTCCATAATTTATTTTAATCTTCTGAAAACAATCCACCTCAGAATTCACGACATTCCATTAAAGTAATAACCGGAAGCAACCGATGATAATTTTCAACATTAACGCTAATGACAAAACCGCTCTATAGTGATGCCACATTAATTTTGTTACATCATAATGTAATATTTTAAAATTCATAATACTAAAACTCTTTACGTTAACTAAAAAACGCAAAATTTTAATGGCGTACCATATAAATTGAAAAAAGAATAGTCTATATGAGACTTTTTGTGTAAATTGGTTCGAATATTATTTATATATGATTCCTCATAAATGAGAACCAACCTGCACAAGTACTCGAAATCTGTATTGACAAAAATGGTCGCTGCTCAGCTCTTCCATAATTCCATTGAATAAAAAGGGACCCTTTTAACGAACAAACAGTTAAAACGAGCACGAATCATTTCATTTTATATCGTACCTACACGTAATAGGGGCATTCCAATTCACATTTGCATGTTTTTCGGGACATAAACACCCTCTGGTGAGTTCTGACTTATTCGCGAGTAATGCTTTTGCAACCTTTTGAATGAATAAATTCATTAAATAGTTAGAAAACGCTCTTTATCGGAGTTATCTTGGGAGCGATTTCATTACCATTTCTATTGACAGTGCGAAGCAAACATGAATTGGGAATAATTTCATTCAGATGGTGTTGTCTGTTGTTTATTCGATTTGAAAATTTAATGGCGAGAAATCTTGTTGGCTTCCTAACAACATAATCTTCGAACAAACGCCTTACACTCAGCTTCCTTACTTTCTTACTGTTCGGCGTATTTACGTCTTCGTGTTACAATAAAAATATATTTCTTTGGCTGTATGAAATTCTGCGAAGCGTGAATATTGCGCCGAATAAAGTGTTAAAAGCTTTTTGAAGCTGTCACACGTTTAGATTTTGCATGTTCCGCGTTTATTATGCATGAAATAAATTTTGAATTCGTGTTTAATGGCTTTGAGTAGGGATTATGATTGTTCTTTGCAGTTAATACATTCAACAAAATAATACAATTATATGACTTTATACATAAATAACTTGTTAAAGATAAAATTTAAGACAGAGATGCTGTTATTTTCGTTCTAATAATCAATTATAAAGTAATAATTTCCTACATTATTTATAACGGGTTGTCCATACAATATATGAAATGAAATCTATTTTTACAAAAATTACTTAGAAAAAAGCTTTTACATGCATTTAAACGCAACTGTCCAAGGAACAAGAAGCAATATTATTTAAAATTAAAATGGCGTGGGGTCAGGTTATACCACCACCCTTCAAAAAGGGAGTCGGCTGCCTCGGAGACCACCACCACGACGCTGCTGGTCCCTCGCACTTCGCTGGCGATGCACTACGATGGAAGACACCTCCATGCTGTAAGTATTTTGTACTTTAGCAATTAATTAATTAAACTAACACCCACTTGCACCCAAGTTCTTAAATCAAATCAAAAATCATGAATGATGTTTAAGACAGCCACGCTACTACGGAGTAAGAGAGAAAAAACTCACTTTTCACCGTGGAATTCGCGGGTGTTTTGACATAAGAATACAAATTTCAAATCCCACCACGGATTCCGCGACGAAAAGTGGGGATTTTTATCTAGTAAAATTTTCTTTGACTTTATAAACCTAGCAGTGTAATGCATAAAATAACTAATAATACCTAATTATGTTTTTATTTATTTTTAAGCATTTAACTGCTAGATGTTTAAATCTAAAGAAAAATTTTACTAGAAAAAAAAACCACACGGACCAGGCAGCGGACGGGACTCGAACCCGCACCCTTAACAATCCGGATTGTTGCAAATGCACTGACCAATTATGCTACCACGGCCCTGATGGCCGCGTCAAATTTTTCCTAGCCTTAAGCTGCAAGGCAGCGCCATCTCTTCGCATTGTAGGTAACCCACAATGACAAATGAATACTTTTTCAAGTATTAAACATTTGAAAGAAGAAATAGCAATTATAGTTATGTTTTTATTTATTTTTAAGCATTTAACTGCTTGATGTTTAAATCTAAAGAAACGTTTTACTAGAAAAAAATCTACGCGGACCAGGCAGCGGACGGGACTCGAACCCACACCCTTCGCAATCCGGGCTAATGCACTGACCAATTATGCTACCACGGCCCTGATGGCTGACGGTAATAATAAACTCAATCTCTAATTGTTTTTAAACATTTGACAGAAATGGAATGTTGTGCTACACAGGATTAAGCCTTTATTTAAGAAAAATTGTGTAAGTGGGCCTAGATGTTATTTTTACTATCATCACTACTGCTGGGGAACATGTAAAGGCCTTTTCTATGGCAATATTCATAAAGAAAGAAAATACCATATACGACGCTAGCTAGCTGCTAGTGCCTATTAATGAGTGATTTGTTATCGCTGCTAAAGTTAGCAGCCCTCCCCCCTTACCCCTTTACTCCCATTATATTAGTTCTGTTGATCAGTTCTATAAACCAAACTTATGGGATTTTTCTAAAAACTACAACAAAATTATAATCACAGTATTAATCTTATTAACTAGCTAAATTATTCACAGAACTAATGACACGTAAATTTTACACTTGTTTGGTTAACAGATCTGTTCATGAGAACTTATGGGACTATTTAGTCTTACTTTGGACTTACCTACCAAAACACGGAAAAGGTAGCTCGAGTATTTTTCATTTTGTAATTATGAAAGGTGTGCCATTGATGAAGTGCAAGCGTACTTCGAGAATTGCAGACCGAATGACTGCGCAATCCGCTTATATTTTTAATAAAGGTAACATTAAATAACTACTCTCTTAACAACGTGGTGTTAAAATTTAGTCTGTATTTGAGGGTGACAGATAATTCCACAAAAGGCTTTAAAGAACGCAGTAACTTCGTTGTTAATGTGACCTTTAAGCTTTTTAAGATGTTGAATTGAAAGGCTCATGTGCAAATCGGTTTATCTTGTTTTACCGGGTAGACTAAGTATTTGCTGAAATCTAAAATTACATTTTTCCCAATCTACTATAATGATAGAACTAGATCGTTAATAAAACACGGTATCTGTATCAAGTTTAATTAAGTGAGCCAAACTGTTCAGACTGACAAGGACCTCAAAAGGTTTTAGGACAAGACGTTCTAAGGCACTAGATATTTTGGTAAGTGTGACCTTTGATGCAGGATATATTATTAGAACACAGGCCATGGTGTTCTTAAATATCCAGTATCAAAAGTTATAGTACTACGCTCAGATTACAGAACAAAAGGCAGATGCGCACAGGACACGCAATACGTGGCACTATAGGAAATACGAAGTCAAAAGCGACTATCAATTCCAGTCAGTACACCACAACGCATCGTGTTGTGATTACATGCCGTGGATATTAGGGCTTTTATCAAAACTGTGCCGCCTTGTTCATATTTCGTAAAAACTGACTGACGTATTTGCTTTGGTGGCACGCATAGCATGTACCTTACACTCTGCCTTTTGTTCTGTAATTTGAGGTGCTGCACATCCTGGGACTTAATGTAGAAAACCAGACTCATTAGCATAGGACACTCAAACATTGTCAGCTTGAAAGAACAAACAACTCTTACTGGGTTTCTTTTTGACTCATATCGGCACCAAGTGAGCTCCACAGATTTTGTGTAGGTTAGTACTCAAAGCATGGAATGTCATCATCATCAACCTATAAATGCCCTCACTGCTGGGGCATATGCCTTCATTACGGATGGGATATGTAAATTGCTCATCACGCGGGCCCAATGTGTATTGATGGGTGCTAATGACCACACATGCAACCGGGGCCAACGACATAGCGTGCCTTCCGAAGCACAAGAGAACTAGTGATAAAAATTTTTGGTCAACTATCCTATAACGAAACAACCACCAACACGAAACAAACCATTACAAAAATTGTTTAATTTCTACGATTGCAGACCGAACACTATACTGTCAGGTAAGTATTAGCTATCAGAATAATTTTGATGGCGTAGTAAACTAATACCAGCAATTTTCAATATAATTTTCATAAATTCTGAATGTCATGTATTATAGACAATTTTAGCTAGGTCTTGCTTAACAAATATAAATTTTAGATTATCGAAAACAAAACAGTGTATCTACAATGAAATGTTTGTACTTTCAGTACGAGTAAATAAGTTTCAAGTAAGTTCACCAGGGCGCCTACTGAAAGGTGATGATTGCATTTAGCATGCTCAATAATGTTGTTAGCTTAGGCAGTTGTTCCTATCGTCATTTTGTTTAATCTTCTCTGGTATCAATCTTCTAAAGGCTTGTTATGAAGCAGTATATTTATTTTACATTTCCAAGCTCTATTACGCTAATAAAATGGGAAAATGAACATGTCCCATGAACAGTATATATATACCTTATTCTGTTGAAGTATCTAGTAAGTGAATACTCTTTAAACTCTTTTTGTTAATACAAGTCTTATGTAAGTCAGATTGTTTACTAATTTTTGAAGCGTAGCTTATTTACGTTATCTTATTTATATAATAAGGGTTTCGTTTTAGCCTTTCATCCTTTATGATTATATTGTTTTCAATTCCCTTGCCGCGACGACGCGAATGGCACTTGGAT